ACTATTGGCTGTTTCTAAATTATCCCCGCGTGGCGGCTAGCGATTGGCTTGCTAGCTGTATAAGAGGCTAGACCGGTTTCTGCCCAAGTTGGAGATCTCCGGGGAGGACCTCATTTAGGAGGACTCGACATCCATCTCGTGGAGAACTCTAAGCGCGCTGTGGAGCCTAACAAACCCCACCTGTGCCTTAGAGGAGGATACAGGGGCCTGATCAACCTCTAGCCTCTCCCCGTCACCACACGATCCCTCGACGTACCCTTCCCTGCGCGCTCGTGGAGAGTCACCTTTTGGACTCTCATCGTGGTTTCCAGAGCTCTTCGGGTTATTTCGTCAAAATTGATTCGACGGGCTCACGGTTCTAGAGCTCTCAGCCGACCTTGGACCAGAGTTCGCGGTTAGAACTCTTGTCCGCTCTTCTTCTTTCCTATCTGTAACTGAAATGCAAGCAAGTTTTCCTGCCTGCACCGCAACCATCTACTGTGTAAGTAAAATAATCTTTAATCAACCGCTACGCGTCCGTGCCTAATTCTAGTCTGCCATGCCGAATTTCCCGACCCACGTGCCAGGGCTGCTGGCCACAGCCCGCCGCACGCCCCTGAAAGCCTCGGACCGCTCCCGGCCCGCACATTTAGTAAGCAGAAAAATTTCAAATATTAATGCTACTTATAAATAATTAAAAATGAAGACATCTAATACCATCTTAAAGACTAAAGGTCTACAGTGAATGGTTCATCATAGATTACCATTAATATAGGCACCAAAGGATTAAGAAGAAATTAGTAACTGATTTGGAATTTGGTAATGTCAGCATTACAAGTCATAGGCTGCAGCTTTATGATTCAAGTTACATTTTTAAACTGTTAATTCCTTGAAGTAGTTTTTCATGTATGCCATTATGGAGTAAATATAGTTTAATCACTAATTAAACACCAACACATTTATATGACACCATGGATTAATTAAAATCTACGTGTCTTAAAGAAGTATAACTTCTAACTTTAGGGAGACTAATATCTATAGTACAAACCTGTAACAATAAAACATAGCCAAAGTGTAAGAACATTTATGATGTGTTGATGATTATAATAAAGTGTCATGAACTGAGAAACCCAAAATAATTTTATATGAAAGATAAGATCATAGCCAAATGAGTACAAGGTTCAGACTAATATGTTGTTTGTGAACCGTTTACATCAACTGCTAACAATTTTCAGTTGCTCACCGTGCTATTTCTGTTTTGAGGTTTGGATGTTTGAGACATTTAAAACTAGAGAATAAATTATGACTAAATTGTGACTAATGTTATTTGAATGTCTAATACAATTTCTCAAGTTAATCATGGCTTGTGCTCAGAAAGACACTTTCAAGGATTATGGAAAAATGTGTGTGAAACTCCTTTGTAGAAAGGAGAGTAATCTCTTCTAATATAAGCATTCTTATTCTGGTAAAACTACATCTATACTAGATGTGCTGTATTGATACATGTTTTTAAATTAAAAAAAAAGACTGGAATAGTTACAGTAACATAAAATCCTTCATACTGAGGTATCTGATGAAGACATTTCAAAACAGAGTATCTTCTGTAACTTTTGCTGGGCTGCCTCCCAGTTTTTGAATGGGAGTGGGGAAAGGGAGTGGGGGAGTGCAGTCTGGGTTCTTTCAGACTCCATTGGTCAGTGAGGTGGGTGAACTGGAGCCCCCCGGTGCCTGCCACACTTTGTGCCTGCTGTAAACCTTCTTTGCCTCAGTCAGAATCTGCCAACCTTTGCGAGGCTCCAATTCACGCACCCCACCCACCAGCACCAGTTAGGGGACTCCAAGAACAAGCTCCTTCCCCTCCCTTACCCGACTCCCATTCTGAAACAGGGACAGACTGGGAGAGAGGAGGGGCTGTTGTTAGGGGAAACAGCCAGCAACTAACTTATTAGGGGAGGCAGGTGCATTAGAGTAGGTTAATTTAAAGGAGGTGCAGTGTAGTACTGCATTTTGCAAACCTATCTGATTAAATGTTCCATCAATCAGGAAGGGATTACAGGGAGAGCTACTACAGTAATATTTTATCTTTTCAGTGTTTAGAATTAAATATGGAATTTATTATAACCACTTATACAGTAAATAACATTTGTAGAAATCAATACAACCAGATACCCTACAAAAGTATAACTTCATAGAAAGCTAAATGACTGCAGTTAAATAGTTTTATAATAGTATGCACTTACATTTGCATGTCAGCCTTAGGTCACATTGTAGAACAAAAAGGAAAAAAATGACACCTTTTCAGCTCTTATAGAAAGTTACTTATTTTTGGAAGTACAGGGCTACAATCAAAATGCTGATTTATGTATCAAAGTAATATGGAATTCTAGAGGCTTTGAAATAAAGTAATCCCCATTAAAGCTAGAAAAATAATAGAACCACTATTTTTTAAAAGCTATATTAGTAAGTAGAAAAGCTAGCAAGCTTTGCTAGATTAAATGAAGTTTCCATATACATAAAAGAAAAAATATTAACAAAAGATCATTGGATGAGTTCTATTTTGAGGCAAAAGAAGAAGCAGTCAGTTCAGCAGACAGATTTTTAACTATCAGGTGTAATGCATACCTAGAAATAGAAGATGTAAAAAGGTCAAATTCATAAACAGTTTGTCATATGAAATTGTACAAGTGATGAATTCATTTGATCTGCTTTCATTTTGGTTGTGTATTAGAATTATTGCCATGGATAGGTTGCTTGATAGAGGGGGTGTCAAGCCTGCGGGGGGACAGTATGGGAGGCAGGGAACTCCCTGGGGTGTGAGGTAGGGGAATGGAAATGGCTGAGGGATGGGAGTCAATATGGGAAGGCAATTTATTTTTTTCCTTTATGGGCACAGTGAATGGGGGTTGGGTTGGTTGAGAAAAGAGGGACACTTGTTGGTCAGAAGCAGGAGAAAAGAAGTAGGTGAGGTGGGGTAGATTACTTCAGAATTTGTGGGTATTTGTGGCACTTTGTTTTGTTACACTTTATTCTTTTAATATTTTGTTTTTACAAATTATTTTGTCTTTTATTGCAAGTCATCCTGAACCTTTATGGGGAAAGGCAGCATACACGTCTAATAAAATGAATTAATACAATACAAGCATAAAGCATGTTTAGAAGTGTTTCTGTGGGATAAACATAGGTGGTATTGGTAGCTTTACAGTGCTAATACAGTACTGCTTAGTATTATTAGGCTATGAGGCAGGGCACTGTTTGTGCCTGCCACTTTAAGACCTAAGCCAAGCAGCCAGCAGGTGCCTGATTGCAGTGGCCATTTTGGATTCAGGGCTGCCTATGTAAGCAGGGCATTTTTTAGTTAAGGTTGTCCATTTATTTTTGTTCGTGGAGCTGGAGGCTTAGGGTCAGTGCATTAAGTTCCCCCCAAAATATAGCTGGTTGAA